AAAGACCTCCGGGGCGTGACCTCCGACTCCGCCGAGACGCTGCCCGCTAACTTCCGTGCCTCAGCCATCTCCACGCCCTCCGTCACCCTGAGAAAGGTTCAGAGTGACGGTGAGCCCGACCTTTCACCCCTCTAGCTCTCACCTTTAACTCCTTCTCTGTAAACATCTCACAAAGTGTTTTTGGTCTCAGTACATTTGAAATAAGACAAAACTAACTGACAAGTAACTTTTCAACAAGAAATAGCAGCTTGTTTTAGGTCAATAAATATTGATAAAAAATGTGTCACTTGTAACATTTTCCCATGTTAAAAGTGAAATAATCTGATCTAGTACTTTGTACTGTGTAAGATTTTGTGTTTTTACAGTGTAAACATGAGTTGGTAATGATGCTAAAGCTAGGCTAACTGAGGCTAGTTGAGGTCCTGATTCCTAACTTCAATATTTTTTTTCTAATTACAATTGTGTTTGTCAATTTCAGTTTCAAAAAAACCTTTTGAACAAACTATATGGCTTCAATTTAACTCCGTATTTTATCTTTCTGAAAAGTTGCTTGTAAGTCACTTTTGTCTTATGTCAAGCACACTAAGATATTTGCATTAGAAAATAATACTCAGTATTGTTTTGTGGTTTTGCTGCTACTTTACAAAGTTTTGCTCACATGATGAGCATGTCAGGAATTAGGGCAAAAGGTGCAGTCTCTAAAATATATAATCGGATTTTATGTTACTCTACCATTAGCTTACCTCAGGAATTTGTTTCCTCCTTTAGCGGAGGAACTGACAATAACAAGGCGCAGACTCTTTAAAGCAGAGGAATGCTATAATCCCTTTAATACCTCCAGAAAGGTCACTGCTGTTACGTTAATGACGTTGTGTTTCTGTGTTTCTGTCTCCTGGTTTCCAAGCAGCTAGCTCTGGTGCCCGGGGTGAATCTGCCTCAGTGAGGACGTACTCCTGTTGAGTTGCTGAGGTGAGAACATGTCAATTAAACGGCCTGACAGGGTTCCTCCTGCGTGTGGCCGCTGACTTCTGTGCTGATGGCTTCCACATGTGTCGAGCGTTTGAACTTGTCGTTTGATGCATTTTGTCTGCTGTAGCTGACCTGTCTGGGAGTTTTAGTACATTCCTCCCAGGTCTTAAATGTACAATTTACAGTTGTGGTTGGAGGTTTCCATAAACTGCTGGTGGGGCTTGAGTGTCAATGATGATTTGGTATTTTAATAATTTATTTTTAGCTTTCTTTTTCCAGGTTTAAATTCCATTAATGCATAAAACTTAAATACTTGAATTGGTTGCTTGCTAAGAAGTTAGCTGCGCCAACCCTAAAACACTAAACATAAACATTAGTTCTGCTAACGCTGAAGCGCTACACCAACAAGGAATTTAGCGGAAGCTGATGCTAATGCGCTAGTTTCATTAGCTCATTATAACTGTATTAAACTGAAAGTTTACAAAACAACTATAGCGCTTTAGAATTGATCTGAAAAAATTAATTGTGGGGAAACAAGGTGCGGTAAAGTGCTAGGCTAAAAATTAGCTCTGCTGTTAGCGGATTTGTGGAAGTCGTTGCTCCAGTTTCAATTTATTGTTGATTTTCCGTAATCTACAGGGGGTCAAATACTTTTTACTTTTATTTGTGTAAAACTATATTGAAGTAGTGCTGCTGTTACTTCACTACAGGTTTTGGTTATTCTATCCACCTCTGGTCATATTCAGCTAGCACTACGCCTAGCAACCCAAGCAGAATTCCAGTACGTTTGGTTAGCTGGTTTTAACGCTGGATGTGTTTTTTGTAAATTTACCATTAAGATGCCACTCTTTTAGACTTTCTAATGTGTCTGCTTATATGTGTGTTAATAATGAGTTAAAATGAAAGATACAGAGAACAATAATAACGAGTAAAGGTGTGTTTCCTTTTTCTCCTCAGGGCGCTGGCTGGATTGGGACTAAAGGACCCTCTCGCTCATCCACGAAGAACGAAGCAATGACTCTACCAATTAACCTAATCGCAAACCTGACCATTCTGCAATAACAGTAGCAAAGGAAAATGGGGGGAAAATGACATGAAGAATGTATAAACTTGTTCTCAGATTTAGCGAGCTGCATTGGACCGGCTGTTTTCTCTCTCCGTCTGCGTGTCGGGCGCCGTTTATCATCTTACAGTTTCAAACATCAGAACGTCTGCTCGACACCAAGGGCCGGGCCAGAACCTGAACTCATTGTTTAGTTCGGATCAAGAGGGTGTTAAAGCTGAAAAGCGATTCAGGGAGACAGTCAGATGTGTCGGAAACGACACCGGCGCTCCTTTATTTCCGCTGGTGTCTGGTTCCAGCCGGCGCAGCCCCTTTTTGTTGGCCTCCCTGGTCCCCACCAGGATCGGATGGTGTGGTAAAACACGGCTGAATTCAGACCACCATTTATGTCCGACCACATCAGAGAGCCATTGTCTGTTGGCACCTTAAAGGCGAATAGTGATCTCTTTTGAAAGGGGCATCAAAGGAGAGATTTTGGTGGAGCAAACTTTTATGACCCTTAAATTGGTTTATGTTGGTTATTCAGACTAAAATAGATCAGTCTTTCACCCTAGTGGTAAAATCTTAAACTGAAAAATTATATTTAAGTAAATTTATTGAAAAGAGGCAACATTGCTGCTGCAGCACTTATTTACTACATCAGAGTATCAGAACCAAGCTAAGAAAATCTTTTTACAAGAATAAAGTTATGAGTAGAAAGTAGAAATAATATTAGAACAGTGTCTTAATATTATTAGAATAAAGTCATAATATTACCAGAATAAAGTTGCAGTAATGGGAGATTAAAGTCTTAATTTTGTGGTAAGTCATAATATAGAATAAAGTTGTAAAATTACCATAATAAAGTCATAGTTATACAAGAATAAAGTCATAATATTTTGAGAATAAAGTTGTAATATTTCGAGAACAGTCAATATATCAGCATCAAATTATTATCAGTAGCAAAGTTGTATTTGCTACAACTTTATTCTTGTAATATTTTGACTTTTCCCAAAGTATTACAGCTTTATTCTGATGTTTTAACAGATTGAGTATTTCCTTATTTGTGAGACCAAAAACAAAGTATAAACTCTGGTGTAAATAACGCAAAATTCATATTCTGCACAGTTTCAAACCTTTATTTGAATCTCAACTTCTTCTAAAAACAGCCCAAGCACTTGAAAGAAAAAAAAAACACCCAGGTGTTTTTTGGCAATAAAATAATTCTTTTTGGTGCCTTGAAAATGAGCCATTTCAAAAACGTCACACTTCGCCGTTACCTACCTGAGCTCCAGCATGATTAGTCAGCCGGTTTTACCTCTATTTGTGCTATACAATGGCTGCTGGAAAAGACAAGAGTTTTTTTTTTGTTGGCTTAGTATTTAGGAATAACTTCCCTCATTCTGTTGGTTGCGCAGGAGGCTCCACTTCTGCTTTTCAAAGACCTACAGATGTATAATTGTGCATCTGTTTGCAGCCATTTTCATGTGAGAGTGTAAACGTTGTGTTGGGGGCTGTAGCCAGCAGTAGCTTATTTGGACCCCTTTCTTTTCTTTGCTTGTGTTTTGAGACTACTGATTCAGATTAAAGCTGTGCTATGCTAAGCTAGCTAGATAGTAGCCTCCAGTTTTACCTACTAAGAACCAAGTCACTATGAAGTTTCCACTGGGAATTTTTTATAAGGATGGAGCCGACAGAGAGACAAAAACAGCCGATTCGAGAGGATGGGAAGCAAAATAAAATGAAAAATGTGAACAGAAGTTGGTCATTCTACTGCACACACAAGCCATAACAGGAAGGAAAAGCTGTCTGTGGAGGAGAGAGGGCAGCCTGAGGAAGCCCAGAAAACAAAACCTTTAGCCTCTGTGTTTACGATGCATGTCCAATAACGACAATGACCTAAAAAAACAAACATTTTTTTGGTAGTAAAGATGATATGAGGTGTCGTTAAAAAATATATATCTGTATGATAAACCTACAGGGTGGGTTTGGGGCGGCTGGGCGGGGCTCCTGGGGGCGGGAATCAAATTTGTAAGATGTGTGTATTTTTTTCAGTTGTATTTTATTATTTTTTTTACGATAACTATTTATTTTCTTCAGGTATGTATTGGATAAACGTATGTACATGTTCGGTTTCGTTCTTTGCTTCGTTTGGACGAGTTTCAAGAGTAAATATGAAAACATTGAGAATTGTCATTCAAATACGCTAAATGTGTACATTTTGAGGAACAAATTGTGCAACGATTTAACAGATTTCCATGATTCCAGTGGTAGTAATAAGATGGAAATATCTGAAAAATAAAGAATAATATTAATAATAATGACAATGATGATGATGAAAAATGGTGATGTAAAAAAATAAATAAATAAAGCAATCCACGTGGATTTGCTGATAATGATGCAGTTCTTTGTTTTTATTGGTATGTTTTTTTTTTTTCTCTTTTTAGGACTATGAAAGATTCATTAATAGAATAAAGCCAGGTTTTAGATTATTATTACTCCATTACTTTATATAAAAAATATTTTATTTGGTTTCTTAGTTACATAACAGAAAGAGTCCAGCTGAAATTCCAGTGGGAGAAGAGGTTCAAGTGTAGTTCATTAATTGATATTAACATTTCACAAATAGGAATTTTAAAAATACATTTGTAGAATGGAAAAGCAAAAAGGAAAAATTATTAATTTAATGCATTTCCTAGATAAAACACTTTAAAAAAACTTTTCTGAGCTGGTAATTTCTTTACTTTTAGAAATTTTCTCGTCTTTAAATCTCAAAAATGTCAGAAGTTTCCTAGAAAAAAACACATTGACGTTTCTGAGATTAACCTCAGACTTTTTGCCTCAGTTATTTTTTTGTACAATATTTTTCTCATTTACACATTTTTTTCTATCTTGTTAAGCCATATATTTCGACTGTATGTATTTCGCAAAATTGCAACGGCAGCACGTTTTTTTCCGCATCACGCAAGTCACGTCATCAACAACCGGATGTTGCTACCGGGGGAAAAGACTCGGACAAGAAGTGGCGGGAGGACGTTTTTCTGAGAGAACGAACTTTCTAATTCCGTATTAATTAACGGAAAACATCACATTTGCTAAATTGTATTTTTTTTTTCAACTTTAGTGGAATATTGACGAAGTTTTGCGCACATTTGTAACGGAAACTCAGTTCTTGTCGTCGTGTGTGGCGTCGGTTCCCGGCAGCCATCACTGATCGAAATGAAACTTCCTGTTTCTGGATCACCAATCACCACCAGAAAGCTTCAGGCCCTGGAAGCAGGTGGGTTGGATTATTTCAGCTTTCAGTGACTCGCATTCCTCTATTTCGTTTGGGATCTCATTAGATGTTGAGGAAGCTAAAACTAGCAAGAAACAGCAAAACAACTGTCTGGGCTAGCAGCAGAAATACTGGATAAAACACATATAAGGGCATATTTTAATAGTAACATGCTTTGTTTTTCCTCGTGTTTTTTTTTTCTGACGCCTCCCTTGAGCCCAGGACTTAATTGTTTCCTGTTTTTGAATTTCTTTGTCACCCTCTGGTTTGAATCTGTAATAGTTTGAGATTTCGCCTTCGCTGGTTCCCTGTGACCTTTATCAGCCATTTTTCTCAAAGTTCAACCTTATCATGTCTCTCTCTGAACTGACCTTTATTCTGCTTATTGGACCCAGCTGTGTTCATCCCACTAATCATCACACAGCCCAATATTTAGGTATATTTTACTCTGATCTCATTTCCTGTTTGGCTTCTTCGCGTCATGCAAGATTTTTCCATTAAATCTCCACTTGAACTTCTGCAGTCCTCTGGACCCTCAAGAAACATGACAGGAATAGTTATATAAAGTTTTAAAAGTAACCTATTATTCTTCCTTGCACATGTTATGATTGGTTTATGCCAGGGGTCGGCAACCCAAATGTTGAAAGAGCCATTTTGGACCAAAAAAACAACAACAAACAAATCAGTCTGTCTAAGTTTACCTTCAGTTACAATATTAATGTTTTTATGTTTTGTTGCATTGATAAAATTAAAGGAGTGCAACTAAGAAATCAGATTTCTGATGTTGTTTTTATTATGAAGATTGACAGGGAAAGTGTAATTTTTTCCTATTGGAATCTCAGAGAATCTGCTTCCAAATGCAGTTTGCATAACGACGATTGCTCTTTGTAAATAATCACCATAAAGTGTGAGATGGACAAAATATGCGAATAAACAACAAAATGGAACATGCATAACATGTCCCTTCACTGGGCAACAAATGGAGAGCAATAAAACACAACCTGCAGACATAAAAATAAAGCCTTTTCAAAAGGAAAAGTATATTAAATTAAATTAATACAGTTGAAGTTTGATTTCTGTGCAAATGCCAAACAAGTCAATGCAATGATAAGACAAAGCAGCTTCTTCTCTTCTGACACACAACCATCGTCGAACCTGAGCAACGAACACAATAATATCTAAGTGTCATTCTAAATATACACTGACAAAACTCACTGGTCAATTTAAAAACAACCACTTTGTTACTAAATATATGTGCCTGAATGGGAGGGTTGTGTTCTTGCATGTTTAATATGACTTCTGTTTACGGACATCACTGGACAGCTTCTCAACATCAGGCTTGTAAGATGTAACTTTAATCTTGATGTAGCAGCTAATGTAGCGCCTTCCCTGGAAATGCCTTTCCACATTACCGTATTTTTCGGACTATAAGCCACTACTTTTTCCCCACGCTTTGAGCCATTCTGCTTATAGCCTGGTGTGGGTTATATATGTTTATTTATTTTTTTATTTTATTATTATTGTAATTTTTTTAAGTTGTAGGTACGGCTTACAGTGAGGTTCGCTCTATAGTCCGGAAAGTATAATATTCTTATTGTTATTTGACAACTTCCGACTACAGAGCAAACATTCAGGTAATCCGTCCGCATTGGCAATAAATGCAAATAATTTAGTCCAAGAATTGTAAAATCTCTCCTCGGCTATTTTTCCTCTTTGCTGTACATGGCAAAGCAAAAGTGGAGCCTCCTGTACAACCAACAACAAAGCAGCAAGTGGTTTGTGGATGGCAAGAACAGCAAAACACTTTTTCTTTTCCAGCAGCCATTGTACAGCACATACAGTGGTAAAACTAGCTTACCAGATGTTGCTAGGAAACAGGCGGCACTCTGCTGAAGTTGCTAGGTAACAGCACAGTGAATGCTGAATTGTTTTATTCAAAAGGTTTTTAAACTTTTTTCTTTCCAAGAGCTAAAAAAAATGTTAACTTATTGCAAATATGAAACATGTGAAAAATCTGAATTTTGCATAATTATAATATGTCCCACCAGTAATTTTTGTATGGAATATTTTTCTTCTGGAAAGAGAGAAACTTCCAGGAGAACTTTGAACCCTTCAGACCAGATTATAAAATTGGTATAATTTATTCTAGTTTTAGTTACTGCCTCCATATTTGATCATGTTTGAACAATTCAAACATTTCTCCATTACTGATTTGTCTTAAAGTGAATTTGTTTATGGGTTTGGCTGTAAAAGTTATTCCTTCCTAATTTCACTTTAAGATAATCTGCATTTTTGTTGCTTTTAGTTCTGCACTGTGTGTATAAGTGCACTCTAAAGAAATACTTATTAATACATGTGTAAATACTTTTAAAATGTATTTTAATCTTGTCATATTTATCTAACACATTTGTATATATATGTAGTCACTTAAGTAATTAAGCAAATATTTCCCGCTTAAAAATGAAGTTTTAAAATGTATATTTTTACCTGTTTTACCAAGTTATTTCTAGACAACCCATTTAGAATTTAAATAAACTAAACAATTGACAATCAATGCATTGAAGCATTAAAAATCTAAGAATAAATGCATTAGAACAGTCTGCAGACAGAGGCTACTTCTGATTTGTTGCACGACTGACTGCTAATGGAGATCATTGCTGATCAAAACTCTTAAGATCCTTCGATGGTTTGAGTTGCATTTAATTTCCTTCTGGAGTAAATAAAGTATCTTTTGAAATGATTTGAAGTATCTCTGCAATTCAAAATGGATAAATAAGTTTAATATAATACCTTTTTAATTTCTACTTGAAAATAAACAAAATCTTAACGACACGAACAAAACCAATGCATTGGAAGGTGCTCAAAAGTATTAAAATACAAATGCCTTTTATTATCATATCATGTAATCAGATCTTCTTTAGGTGTCACATAATTTACAACCCAGATCCTGTACAATTCACCCACAGCTTTAAGAGTTTGGAGCAGTGAAATGAAATCTCAGTAGGTGGCGCTCTTTGCTTTTACAAGACGAGTGACCCAAAGGCTGGAATCATCATCAGACACCGGAGAGAGCTACTACTGCATGAAGACGTCTTCTATAAATACACACGGCGATACAGAAAAGATATACTGGTGTCGTGTTTTAGACACGGCAGGAAATATATTATCAAAAACATGCTTACATACTAGGCAAAAATAACTTAGGTTATGAAAGATAAATCATACAAAAACAGCATTTCTTGGTGTAAAATCTCTATATACAGAGGTGGGTAGTAACTAGTTACATTTATTTGAAACAGACTTTTACTTTAGTAATATATTTTATAAAGTAGTGCTATTCTTGAGCTAATTTCACTGAATTGTTTTTCTAATTTTCTGTCTGCTGAACCATTTGGCACTGGAAGTATTTCACCTTGTTCCAGCAAAGTACATTTGATTGTATTAGTTTCGTAGTTTTTTTATTTTATTTGAATTTATCCTTCATCTGCTGCCTCAATCTGTTATTTTGAAATCTTTTCACTTTAGTCTTTAAAATACCAGAGTTTGGACACAACTTCACATTTATTAATATTAAATCAGATAATCTGATCAGTCGCTCTTGAGTAATTTTACTTGAGTGAAAATGTGTTGAGTTTAGGGATGCATGTTATCAATCAATGAGTCAAAAAGCCGCCATTTCGTTCCAAATCTGAGTTTTCTTTTGTATGAAGGTATGAAGGTTTCCATAATACAAAGGGCTAAATTTGTCATAATATGCTGCATCAAAAAAAAAAAAAAAAAAAAAAAAAAAACATTGTAAAACTTTAGGAGTTTGTCAAATGTTTACATTTCTGAACAGAACCCCTTAAAGTGCATCTTGCATCACTTTGTTTGGACCACTTCTCTTTCCCGTTCTGGTATTGTGCTGCCATCTTTGTTTCTGTATCAACTGGCTCGTTTAAGCATGACCAGCAGCGCCCTCTGCTGGATTGCAGCCAATCTGACTTAATTAATTTGAGCAAATTTTTTTAACTAATTATATTATTAATTGTTTGCGTCCCTTGTTGAAGTTGGGCTACTCTGACTTGAGTGCAATATTTGGGTTCTCTACAACAACGTATGAGGGCCATTCTAGGTAAGGAAAAAAGGAGTACATTTCTGCCAAGAAAACATCTTTTTTTGGGGGAGGTTTTTTTTTCTAGAAAACTTCAGAAATTTAAGAGTTTCAAAAGTCAAAAATATTTGACTTTTGGAAAAACTTTTTCTATAACATTTTTTGAGACCTCAAAATACGAGTTTTTTCTCACACTTTTACTTCAAACTTAAGTTATTTTTTTTCGAATTCTAACTCAGAAATGTTCTTGTTGTTTGTAGAAATTTTCTGAGATCTCAACATTTTTGGTTTACTTGTAAATTTTTGACTTTTCCAACTCATATTTCCCATTACGTTCTAGAAAATTTCTCAGATCTCAAAAATTGTAACTTTTTTTCTGCCAATTTTTTACTTTTCATTCTCATAAATTTACAATTTTTGTCTAGAAAATTTCTTAGATCTCAAAATTGGATTTTTCTCTTTCTTACAAATTTCCGACTGCTAAAACCAAAAAGCTTCCATCTTTTTTCTAGGAAATTTGATTCAAGTTATGACATTTCCTTCTTTTCTGGAAAAAAATTAGATGGTGTTTAAACATTTCTTGCAAATCTTCAATTCTGATGCTCAGAGTTTTCTAAATTTTTTCAGAAATGTTCTCCTTTTTAATTGGTCCTAACATGTCGTTGTTTTCTACCCACCTCTGTCTATATAACAGTTTCCCTAAATTCATTTAGCATTGAGGTTTTCTTGTTTTCTTTGTGTGTAAAAGTCATAAAATGGGGGAAGGAGAAACAACGTCCTTCTTTGCGTTAGACTCTCCTGCGCCTCGTCATCACGTCCTTCCCCTGATTTGTTCTGGACAGCAGCACGCAGACGCAGGACGAGTCTATCCGGATCCACCGCCACCCCATCTTGTTCTTGGCGTCCTTGGAGAGCGCGCGGACGTACGACTGCTTCTCTCTGCACTCGCTCCGCCATTGTTTTTTATCCACACCGAGGCAGCTGGCCCCGGCGACGCCAGCCGCCGCGGACCTCGCGCCCGCTCCCCGCGTCCTGCTCGAGCCGCTCTGCTCGTCGGGCCGGCGGCACCGCGTCTCGTAAAAGTACTGCTTGAGCGCGCCCGTCATTGTCTGGATCTGCGGGACGATGGTGACCCGCTCGCCGTGCGAGTCGATGGCGGTGGTTTTGTTGTTGACCCACGCGCTTTCCGACTCGCATACGGACTTCTCCCCCCTGCGCGTGTCCATTAGGTGTGAACGTTTGTCCCGCTTCACCGGGCGGTAGGCCTCGTCGGCGGGGCCCCTGTGGTAGTCCGCCCATGTCGGAGTAGGCGTGGTCCGGTCGGCGGCGCGATCACCATGACCCTCTATGTCTCCGTCGCTGTCGTCCTCCATTAGCCCGTTCTCCAACATCAGCAGCAGCGGCGGATGCTCCGGCGGCGACGGCGAGGGCGAGAACAGGACGCGGGGATGTGCGTCCAGAAACATTTCGTCTATTTCCAGACCCAACCCGACATCTACGGCGGGGCTGTCCTCGGCTGCGCCTGTCCTAAAATGGCGCGGCATCGAGTTCGAGTCGCCATCTTTCCTGCTGGCTTTGTAGTCCTTCGGTAGAGAGTTTTCCTGGGAAATTTCCTCGGTCCTGAGCGGTTCTTCTTCTTCTTCTGCGGGAACGTCCGGACTGCTGAACGGTTCGTAGATTATCCGGTTCTCGACTTCCGACGTGGGGGTTTGTTTCCGATCCTCGCTGGGCTGCGCGGTCGCGGGGTCGTGAGGGAAGGGCAGGGCCGAGGCGATCACCATGGCAACCAGGGGAAGCCAGTGCATCACTCCCAGGACGTATCAGCTGACAAGGAGAGGAGAGACGGCGATCATTCATTTCATATTTCTATCAAAATCTCAGCTTTCACATCCCCATTAAAGGATAATAATAATAATAAAAAAACATTTTGGAGCTGAATTTTTCCAAACCTAATGTTACAAAGTTCATGAGTTTTTATATAAATGTTGGACAAGATGATAACTGCCAAATAGGAAGACAACGTTCATATTTTACACAGCCTGCCCAAGCGTTTTTGGGGCCCTAGGTAGATTTTCATTTTGGGCCCTTCATAATGGATAAAAAAAAAAAAAAAAAAGATAACATCTTACAACTTAATTTTCACAAACTTCTTTGTTTCTGAAAAAGTGCTACAAAAATTTAATGTATTATTATAACTAAGAATTAATGGACAGGGATGACCAAAGCCATTTTTGGGCCCCTAAGCAGATTTCATTTGGGCCCCCCACACCAACATGTCAATACCAGATGCTTTATCATTCCCAGGCTTCTGTCATCATTATTTGTATTTAGCTTACATTTTACCAGTGTTGTTAGCACTGATTATTTTAACCTTATAGAAATATCAAACTAAACATTTTTTCAAATTTTGTGCCATATTATTTTAAGTATTTTAAAGTAGGGTTGAACGATACAGCTGCAAAATCTATCCTAACATGAGCATTTCATATCAATCTACTAATAACTATTGATTTGGGTTTTGTTTATTTGTTTTAAATATCTGAAATATTGTAAAAACTGGTGGCGGGATCTTTCTTGTTTTATCCTCCGTTTCGTTTTCACTTCAGTCTGTGTTTTTTTTTTTTTTTTTTTTTTTTTTTTTAAGAACGAGGAATGGTGGCGAAACATGAAACTGCTGCTATGCAATTTAGTGAACAGGTTGCTGCTAGGCAAAATAAGAGTGAGTGAATTGCCAGGTAGCCAAAGATTGACGACTATAAAGGTGATATAGAAATCGTTTTTCCATGTGTAATATCATTTAGTTTGTATTATTCAATGTTGTTCTGAATATAAGTATTTTTATTATGCTAGCTTGGTGCTCTTTGGGGCCCCCAAGTGGTGTGGGGGCCTTAAGCAGCCATTTAATTTGCATCTACTTTGGGCTGGTTCTGGCAGCTTTGATAGTGAAACAAAGAGCCCCAATTAGGGTGTAAAACAAGTGTTTTTACTGGCGGCTCTCAGCTTTATGACTGAAGAGCTTCAGCTGCTGACGTATGGCTTTAAAATCTTGGCAGAACTTGTGGAAAATCAGGACCGAGAACAGAGAGCTCAGTTTTCTTCATGTGGAGCCCAGGAGGAGAATGCTGGAGATTCTACGAATGAGGAATTGACCTTCAAATGGAGACGCTGACAATCTGGTATGTGCTCAACTCAGACTCGTTAAATCAACTGAAGAGATCCAGAGATAACAAATTACAGTTTTGCTAATTTAGAGCTGTTACTTTTTCTCCTGAAAATCGAAAGCTTCCTGTTTTAAGGTGACCTATTGTACTTTCTTGAACAAATTAGTTTAGATCTATGGTCTATACAAAAGCATGTTCATTACATTTAGCTCTGTTCAGAATGGGCAGTTTTAGGGCCTCTTGTCATTTTACATCCAAATAATTTGCTGCTGGCTCAGTGTTTACACTCGCATGTAAAAATGGCTTCAAACAAATGAAAACTTGTACAACGGTATGTCTCTAAGAAGCAGAAGTGGAGCCTTCTGCATAACCAACAAGAATGCAGTGAGTGGTGTCTGGATGGGAAGTCAACAATAAAACACTTCTTTTTTCCAGCAGCCATTATGCAGCACATACACAGATGAAACCAGCTGACCAAACATGCTGGAGCTCAGTTTGAGTTGCTCAGTGACGGGCAGAGCGCTGCTGCGTTTGCTAGGTAACAGGGCTGTAACTGATACTTTGACGTTACATTCTGAAGTTTTTTGAAACGGCTCACCACAAAGCAGAAGCGGTAGAGATCCAAATGGAAGCACAAAAATGTGCAAAATGTGAATTTCTTATAAAATTTTTTTAATTTTTCTCAGGATTTATGTGAAAAATACCCTTAGATAAACAAAAGCGTCTTTCAGACCAAAAACAAAACTTAAGAATGTAAGTAAATATTCTTTTATGTTTTATGAGGACAGAAAGAAAGGAAACTTTTCTCTCTCTACAATCTAATAATTCAATTATTTCCTCTGGCTTTTGATGCTGTGCAGCTGGAAGAATTTTTACTCCTACTTTTTTACTTTAGGATTATTGTTATGAAACTGTGGCAACAAGATGCCTTTGTTTGTTTTATTCAGGAGGATCTGATTAGAACCTTCAAAAGCTCAAATAATACTTGAACTATGACTCCAAACCCCAGAGGAGTTGAAAAAGAAATTCAAACCATTTCATTCATCCAGCATCGTATCCCAGACTTCATCTTTCTAACCTGACAGATTTAACCAGGCGCAGCAAAAGCAAATGAGTATGAGCAGAGCAGGTCTTCCCAGCAACTGATGGTGTCATTCTGGACATTTTATAATGAAATATAATCTCTGCTGCCTGATGATGAGCTGCTAGCATGTCATGACTGTAATGAGACTGTCTTCAGTCAGAGCTTTCTCCAGAATGGTTGCAAGACCGACTGCTACTGGAGATCTCTCTTCTGTGAAGATGCTTGGATGATATGACTTGAAGTTTATTTGCCCTTTTCAAGTGCCCTGAATTGAATTATATTTTTTAAATTAAAAATACAAAAGTTATATTATAAGTTGTAAACTTTACGACTAAAATATTTAAAATAAACAGTAATTTTCTTCAGAAGGAGGCACACAGATTTCCTTTTTTTCCTATTTTGTTGGTCATATTTCTGTTTTGTGGTTGGGGGCTCCACAGGATCATTTCAAGAGCCGCAAAATGGCCCCCGGACCTCACTTTGGATACCCTTTGACTTAAAGCAACACTGGCTATAAGTTCCTTAACAGCAAGAATGCAAAAAACACAGATTTTAAGTGTTTTTGGCAAAGTTTCTAGTGCAAATATCTTTCTGCACTTAAAAAAGGGAAAAACTAACTTATAGGTAACTTTCCAGGTAGAAATAAGAGTTTGACTTAATTATTTAATATTGATGAAAAAATACCACCTGTAAGTGAAATAAACTGCCAGTGGAACTAGTGTGTTTTGTTTTAATCAATATTAAGCTATTATTTGCTTATGTATCGCTGAATAGTTACTTGTAAGTTTGTCTCATTGCAAGTTATTTGCAGTAGAAACCCGCCCAGAATTACAGAAAGTTTTTGGGGGGTTTTGCTGCTGAAGACAAACTTTGTCCCAGTCTTCTTTGAAAGAATTTTTTGTGCAGTAAGCAACTTTTCAGCAAGAAATAGAAACTTGTTTTGAGTCAATAATTGCTTAATATTGATTGAAATAAAAAATGTACTTGTTCCAATGGCAGATTATTTCACTTAGCAAGAAGTTTTTCATCAATATTAAGGAATAACTCACTTTGAAAAGCTATATCTTGCTGAAAAGTTACTTTTCTATCATTTTTAAGTGTACAGATATTTGAATTATAAAAATACTTGGTAAAGTTTTGTTTTTTCAGTGAACATAAAAAACAGAGAACATAGTTATTACTGCGTTTTGTCATTGTTTTTCCTGAAAACTGAACTTGTGAGCACAAGATGGAGGTTTTATTGATATAAAGTATAAAAAATGTGGCTTCTTTTGCTAGTAGCTCTTGAAAGACTAACAGGATTACATTTGTACCTCAGACATGAGATCAGACGATGCCTAAACCTCAGGCATCCTTGCTGAACTCAGCCGCAGGGCGATTCTGTTCTGCTCTGGAATGGCAAACGACTGATTCATTAGGCTGAATGAGCTTCCGTTATTGAGAGATGGCAACATTACATATCCTGCATGCCATAACCTGCATCATTTCAGCTGTAACTGTTCTTACAAATGGAGCCAATACCGACTCCCAGCGCGCTCCCAGGAGCTGTGATAACGGCTACAGAGCCATTAAAAAATGTAAACATTTCCCGGGACGGAGACGAACGCTTTCAGCCGTCTGTGTGGATGAAATGAAGCGCAGCGAGGTAGGAAGGCATGATTCATCCGCATTTCAACACGAGGTTGCCCTCTGACTAACGAGACAAATATTCCAGTCACCCCCGTCTTTGTGGCAGCCACAGTGGGCTTTCATTCAGGCGGCACACGCACTGCAAAAACACAAAATCTAACCGAGTGGTTTTAATTTACAATGCTATATCTTAGTACACCTGAAATAAGACAAAACTAACTTACAGGTAACTTTTTAGTAGTAAAGGAGGTTTATTTAAGTCAATAATTACTTAATATTGATAAAGAACTAGTTCCACTGTATTTCATTTATAAGTGAAATTATATATTGTTTTAATCAATATTGAGGGATTACTAACTAGTTTGTATATCTTTTTGAAAAGTTACTTGTAACTTAGTTTTGTCCCATTTTAAGATATTTGCACTAGAAACTAGTCCAAAAATACTTTGATTTTTTTTTTTTTTTTGCAGTGCAGTCAAATTATATAATCAATAAAAACAGATAAAACAAAATGGATTTATTTGTTCTACTGCTGCACTGCAAAAACATAAATCCTAAAGTGTTTTTGGTTTTCTTTGGTTTCCTAATATTGATTAGACTTAGACTTGTACTTTATTGATCCCTTGGGAAGAGTCCCTCAGGAAATTAAAGTTACCAGCAGCTCACAGGCAAAAAAGTGGCACACAGTAAGCATACGCAAAAGACTACAAAAAAATACAAATTAAATACAATACACAGTAAATGTAATAAGAATATAAATACAAAACAAAGAATATAAATACAACACAAAAGGAAAATATAGCAATTTGGTGGATTACAATTGGCAGATTAATTTAATTTAACAAAACATTTTCCCATAACTGAAATAATCTGTCAATGGAACTAGAACTTTTAAATCAACATTAAGGAAGTCTTGACTTAAAACTAACTTAGTTTTAAGTCAGTTTTGTCTTATTTCAAGACATTTGTAGTAGAAACTAGACCAAATATATCTGCTAAAAATGTGTATTTTTGCAGTGTAGTAAATTAAGTCCAGGACCAAGTTGGTCAAAAATAATTGAAATCTTTTAGACAAAACTGACTTAAAAGTAACTTCTTTTTTTTTAGTGAGATATACGAGTTTGTTTTAAGTCAAGTATGACTTAATGTTGATAAAGTTCTAGTTTTATTGGTAAATTATTTCTCTTTATAACTTGGGGAAAATGTCTTGTTATAAGTGAAATGATTTGCCAGAGGAACTGGTTTGTTTTAAATGAATGTTTTACTGAAACCAGTTAGTTTTCTCTTATTGAAACTGTACTATTATTGCACTAGAATCTAGATAAAACTACTATTCTCTGTTTTGCAGTGCATCGGCCTACGCAGCGTCGATCTGGTTGTTTGCAAGCAGAAAGAGCTGAAACTGTCAGTATGACGGGAATGTCAGCGATGCATAACTGGCGCGCCGATTGTAGTTTCCTTGGGGCGCGGGGAGCCGGGCGCTAAACCCAGGTGGATGAAACATGAAGGAGTTGCAGTGACGACTGAGTGGATGTATCGTCAGCCGCACCCCCAACACAATGCATGTGGCGGCAGGCGAAGGGACCAGGTTCTTGATACCAGAACAAGAATTTGCCCTGAGTGACTTCTGAAGCCGACAATAAATCAAATCAATCCAGTAACCGATCCATCCAGTGTGCCAAATTTCTTATGACGAAGAGAACAATTTGCATATAAGCTACAACTGTTGACAGATCTCTAAATGGTGAAGAAGCGTGCGAGTTGGGTGCTGCTGAGCCAGGATTCCAGCATTTTCCCACTATTAATTACTCAGCTTTGCAGGTTTTGATTATAGAAAATTTACTAATTGGTTTTTGTTATTAATTTGATCCACAAACTCGCGAGTTAAGTGGCTCCTTCAGGCCACCACACCACTAGGGGGCCCTCAATCGCATCAAGCTAGCATGAATAATCAAATTAATTGTGATAAATTGGATTATTTAAATTATCAACTAATTAAGTGACAAGGCTCTCAAAAGCAATAGAAGATAATTGCTGAAAGAACTACATATTTAGAGCAACTGTGAAGACAAAACTGTACAAATACAAAAATATCATGTTTAAGATAAAAAAACAACAAACTTTTTACTTATTTTTCTTAAAATATGTTCCACCCAGAAGTCTTCAAACGGCATAATTATGGCTGAAGAAATGCTATGGTACTGCATTTCAGGCAATGAAACATTTATTTAACAAAGGATTATTATTCATTTGTATTTTTTAATAATGTATAAAAAACAAAATTTAAGTCAGTAAATGAAAAGTCTGCAGAATGTGCCAAACGTTTTTACCCAATTATTCATCAGAATAATCAATTATTTGATGAATAATTGATTATTTAAATAATCAGTTATTTAAATAATCATTAGTTGATAGAATCTAATATATTTACCAGCCATGATAATGCTGGTGTGATGACAGATAATTTCAAATTATGATAATGTGAGTAAGTAATGGTAGAAATATAGAGTAGCTTAGGGTCTAATGTGGGGGCCCCAAATGAAAATCTGATAAAGGCCCCAAAAAGGCTTCGGCCGGCCTTGGACCTTATGAACATCGTCTTCCAGTTGGGCAGTGACGGTTTTGTTCTACATTTATATCAAGAATCGTGATGTTTGTGACGTTAGATTTGTAAAATTTGATCTGTAAGATGTTTTTTTGTTTGTAAATCTACTGTATGTGTGAATGATTGTAATCAGTTCTGTTCTGTCGAACCGGGTCCGAACTTGGTCTCAACTAGACAGTGAAATGTCAAAGAATCACAAATTAATTCAAACGGAAAACGAATGCCAATGTCAATTTAAAGTCCTGCAACATTTTCCAAATTGAATTTAGGTCTGAACTTTGATTAGGCCATTCCAGCATATAAATATGCTTTGGTAGATTTGCTTGTATGTGAAACTCCACCTCAAGTCTTTAATGTTTTGCATCCTATTACTGGTTTCCAGCAACTTCTATCAAGGAATGCATTCCCACAGCATCATTCTGCCTCTACTGTGTACCTTAACTATTCTGGAAATTCAGGCACATTTTTTTTAGTTGTATGTTACAGAAACCATGAATCACACTGCAAAAACTCAAATCTTACCCAGATTGTGGTCTAATTTTTAGAGCAGATACAAAACTGACTTCGGAATAACTTTTTAGGAAGATAAAGGGGCTTATTTAAAATTAGTAATTTTCAATAATGATAAAAAATTACTAGTTCTTCTTGGAAATAAATTCAGGTACCACAAGACATTTTTTCCATGTTATAAATTAAATGAGCTGCTGGTAAGAACTGCTAATATTAACAAATTATGTACTTAAACATATCTAGCTGAAACGTTACTTCTAAGTTAGTTTTTTCAGTGAAAACTGGCTGAAATTGGATCAAATCAGAACTGGATGATGATTCTTTAAAGAACAGGTTGATTTTCTATAGATAAAATATTTTTTTGTCAAATATTAAGTTCAAAACCATGATAGGATAAGAAAGACAGTAAATTGGGCATTTTAAGTTTCTAATTTTGATTATCAGCAAAATTTGATTAAAAACTCATTTAATGTGGCAAATTAAAGGTAGATGTTGATATTTGAGCTTTAATTGCCTTTTTTTTGACAAAAAATTATATTTTTAATGTTGTACAGGATCGTGAGTAAACTCTAGAAGAATCGCTGCTTTCTTACTTATCCAGACCTGAGAAACCATCCGAACCTCAGTGTTTCTCAGACTGTTGGAAGCAGACAGGCAGGCTTTTCCCCCCGTAAGTGTTGCTTTTGTAAAAAAGCGGCGGCACTTCATCACCGCGCTCCATTTACTACAATGACATGCATCATTTAGCCGCGGCGTTAACCGACGACTGCGACGCTCTTCTGGCTCAGACCCAACCGGTCTCCGTAAAGTTTAGCCCTCCTCTCCCTCCTGATCTACATGTTTGATTTTCTTTCAAATGAAGAGAAGAAGAGGGGAAAAAAAACCCTGAATCAAACATGAAACCCATAAACAGACCCAACGATGACCTTAACCAGAAGGCCTCCATTCATTTCAGTGATCTTATTGTTTGCATTAGCGCAGATGATGACTGCAGATTAATTGCATGGAAATGTTCAGGAACAGGAGAAGTTTGAACATCTGTGCTTCTTTTAACTCTTTAACTGCCTTTTGTGTGAGTAAATACCGTAAAAATGTCCCAAAATATAAACTTTTTTCCTCCTTATGTACACTAGAAAATGAGAAAACTTTTAAGCAAAATGTTTTGTCAAACTTCCTATGTTTACTGTTATAACAATATATTTACTTGGTTAAACTTAATTTGATTATTTGTGTGTAATCCAACAAAATTTCAACAAATTTACCAGATTTTTCTCTTTTTTTGAACAAATATTTGAAGGTGGGTTGTATTTAGACACATTTAGATTCAAATTTTGATTCATTTGAATAACAATATCCTTGTTACGATAGAAAACAAATAAAAGTGAAACAAAAATAAAAACATGTAGCAGGATGTTTTGCTGCAAAATTACTCACAAATCTTAATAGATCTTAATGGGATTTTATGTGGTGTACTTATATTCACTGTAAAAACATGAAGTTGAGTATTTTTGGTTTTGTAACTTGTCCAAATATCTTAATACACTTAAAGTAAAAACTAACTAAAGACTTACTTTTTACCGGGATGTAGGATCTTGTTTTCATTCTTTAATATTGATTAAGTTACTTGAAAGTTAGTTTTGTCTTATTTCTAATTTGAACTAGAAACTATTTTAAAATATTTGGTAAAACTTTGTGTTTTTGCAGTGTAGAAGGCTTTAAAGACACCCAGTAGTGGCAGCTCAGTCAGAATGGATGGAGATCATTTATAAACCTGAGTTTTCTGGTGTTGCCACAGATTCTGATCTGGGTTTTGACTAGGCCATTCTAGAGCATGATCATGGTTCGACCTGACCCACTCTGTATGTTGCAGGGTAAAACTTGAGGTACTTTCAGTTTCACCTTATCTGTGTCTAGCGTTCCCCACAGCAAGAAGCTGCATCTCTGCAGCTCCTCCAGAGTTACAAATTACATTCAACTTCATGGAGAAACATAGAAAACTTGAGCTGATATGAATATTTTTACGAAAATGGTGCTTTATGGTGAGCAGACGCCATAAAGCAGGTCCGCGCCTAGAAGAGGCTGCTGCTCGTTAGCGTGTTTGCAGAGTAATCGCCCTCCTCTGGTGTGGCTAACATCAGCCTGACGGCACCATAATGCGCTCTGCGTGCTTAGAGTCGCGACTGCGCCTCGTCCTGCGCTAATCAGAACTCTTTGAAGTTGTGCAACTCGAGGAGTTGCAGGAAACTGAAGTAGTTCCCTCTTAAAAACTCGATGCTAAATTTTTTTCTCCTACTCGATAAATGCATCAAAGCTAAGGAATCCCACCTCTTCTGAGATATAAATGCATCACCAGCATCATGGATTTTCATTTATTTTCCTTTAAGCTTAAAAAGCCCATAAAGGTGAAGAGAAAATGCTTTCATGTATAAACAAATGACATCCAGCAATTCATTTTCCTGGATTCTCTCTTGGAAATAATCTTAATTTCTCTTTTATGGGTTAAAAATCTGTAATAAAGTTGTTACAGTCTCTTCATTAAGCTTTTTATTTTCTTTTAGATGTTTTCTGTTCTCAGAATTTAACGTTTTGCTCCAATAACACTGAACTTTAACTCACCAGAAGAGATTAACAAGTTTTTGAATTTAAAAGCTAATTGATTTGATTGAGGAGATGCTTAGTTCAAAAAGTTCCGGTTTTTAAATCTTTGGAAAATGGATGACTTTTGGTTAAAGAAGTCCAACTTTCCACCAAAACAGAAACTTTTTCGAACCTCTAAAAAGGCAGAAGATTAATCACAAGATTTTGTTTGGGCTGCATCCAAAAGATTTGATAGTTTTTGAATGAACTTTTGCAAACTCTAACGCCAATTTAAACACATTCCACATGATTTTGCTCTGACTTACAAGGTTTTTTTTAATTCTATTTTTGCACATTTTTGTTTCAAAACCCTCTAAAAATCAGACTGGTGCACTTCTGCATGTTTCTAATTTAGTAACATGGGGGGAAACCATCCAGGTTAATGTTTGGCGCCCCGCCGTGCAAACACCCAATTAATTCAAGCTTTGCGATCGTTTCAGTCCATGCAAAGACCCCCACCGATAGAGAAAAACTTTCTTTGCGCTGTTCGCACTTGCATTTTTTTCGCTGAAAAGCGGAATGCCACCCACAGCGCCAGCATTATCTGGCTGACAAGCCGGAGTTTAGACATCAACACGACGATGTGTGCGATATTTACCTGCGGGTTGGGACCGAGACTCGGTAGCTCTCACCTCACCTGAGTGACTGCCAAAGAAAACAAAATGCGCAGCAGCCTGAAAAGCGCAACACGGCCAAGATAATTGCAAAAATGAAGTGGGAGAAACACGCGAGGAGAATAAAGCAGCAAAGCGCGCATGCCTGAACATGAAGGAAATGGATTAATTAGAGTTTTGTGCAGTTTGCATTAGTGTAAAGCATTTCTATGATGAGGGGATTTCTGTGCGTACCGTTTAGGTGAGATCCGGACCGCGCGTCCTTCCAGCTGACACCACATTGATTATCGAGTCCTGTCGCCAGTTGCTCAACTGGTTTCTTTAAAAAAACACTCAGAAATCACTTTCACCTGGAAACACTGGATATGAACTCAAACGTTTCTTTCTCCTTTTGGTAATCCGTGACATCGCATGCGTGGAAAGAGAGGAACCCACTTAAAATAAATAAAAGAAGCGCAGTTTGAGAAAGTATTTTTAAAAAGCTCCTGTTCTCCAGGGAGCGCTTCCAGGCAAAAGAGAGGAAAAATGCAACGCGGGGAGCTTTAAAAATGAAAGCGAGCCTCGAAATATTCCCATATGTTGGTCTTCCGTGAAGGGCGCTTTCTCTGAAAGTGTGTTTCAGTTCAAATAGGTGAGCGAGTGGAGCTGGGGAAGAAGTTCGGCTAATGTTTTATGGCTCTGAGCTCCTCCTGAAACCCACGCTACAAGCTTGCTTAAGCTACCAACACCACTTCCGGTTTGGAACTTCGGAATAAAACTCGTTTCAGAGCGGCGGCTACGTAGACGCGACAAAGTGCTTTTATTTTGGAGCTGAAATAGGACACTTCCGGTGTAATATGCGAACTTGATTAGCTCACTTTTTAAGCGAGGAGGAATCCAGTGTTAAACTGGAAACACTTGTTGAAGTCATACAACAGATATTAATATTAACACAAACACATCCGGCCAGAAGTTTACATACACCCATCACGGAAGTTATTATTTTGAAGCTTGAGTTTATTTATTTAAAGGGTGAATCAAGTAAATTTTTTACAAATTCAAATATTTTTTTATGTCAAGAATTGGTTCCAAAAGTAAAATTTTATTGTGGATTTTCTCAAGTGGTGCTGAAAGTTTTAGCGTTTTCAAAATGTGGCCCGAGGGCCATCTGTGGTGCCTGCACTGATTTTGTGCAGACCCTGACTGTAATTCAAGAATGATCAAAAATTTTCTTTTTAATAATCATAAGATTATTAGTAATTAAGTAAAATGTGAAGTGCCAAACACACTTCCAAACACAGGAAATAATTTCAGGATCAGCATCTCATATAAAACTATGTACTTGTGACAGATCTTAAAAAAAGTATCTTCTCACTGCGTTTCTCCTGGATGAAACTCAAATATCCCGCGAGCTGTTGCAGTTCTACTATTACGACTTTCCTCATTGGAACGAGGAGACATTTTGGTTTTAGTGAGTAATAAATTCCGTAATAAAACTTGTTTAAACGAGATTTACATCTCACAATAAAGACAAAGTGCTATAATGAAACAGAGCTCCTGAATTAATTTTCTAGTTCTGGCAGTTAAATGTTTCTGTAAAGTACTGCACAAAGTATTTGTATTTTAAAAGAGCATTGCAATTTTGTTGTAGCCAAATTTGTTTTTTAAATTATTCTTCACCGCAACAAATACGTGTTTTAAAAAAGATGTTTGCTGCATTTCCAATAAAAAAAAACTTTGTTGATATTATGCTAATTTTGAAAAAAACACAATTTTGCAACTGCAATGTTTCCATTAAATAAAAAACACAATTCAAATCACAATAAGTTTGTTCATGCAGTAAATCACGAAAAACATGCAACGCCACCATCCATCTACCACTTCCTGTGATCTTCTTCTTCATCTTTTCCAGCAGTAGTAACATCTGGTGTGATGTGGGAAAATGTGTTTCCTTTGCAGTTTATCATAGTTTTGATACAACATAAATTTATTTATTGGAATTGGTGTGTTTACATTAATCAAATGAATTTTTATTATTCCACTTTGTGCATTTTCTGGTCAACAGAAACACAGCAACCTGACAGGATGCATGTTGATTTACACTCTCATTATAAAGCAAAGTTATTAAAATCTACCTTTTGTCATAATCTAGAGGGATTCTCCAAACAAAAACAAACAAAATCAACAGGGGTGTATGTATAATTTTGACCCAGAGTCAATTAAATTTATTGTAAGTTGAAACTTTTGCATATAATTTTGTAAATTCATAACAAGAACAAGGTGAGTGTATGTAAACTTCTGACTCACTCAACTTCTGACTTTTTGTAATACAAAAATGAAACAATTAAGACTTTTTATATTAAACACTACCAATTTTTACAATATTAATGTGCATTCGTCTTTCGGTCACTTTAACTCGAATTGCAATAGAAACCAACGCGGTTTGGCCTGCAGCCAGAAACAATTTTATATGATCTTGCATTTCAGTACCTTATTGCAAACACGCTGTAGCAAAGTTGGAAGCCCAAGCTCATTAAGGTTCCCATCTGCAAGCACAAGGAGCTGCAACATGATTCCTTTTGGCACAAGCCAACCGGAGGATGTAACCTTCAGTTCAATGCCAAATAACAGTCTGTGTGCAGATTGCTTCCTGGTTGCTTCTGCCAGATTTTCAGTAAGATCACAACATGAGGCAAACATGTGACTGATTTTGGCTTTCACACATAAAACAAACGTGCACATGTGGGAAAAAATTAACATGACAGAAACATAATTTAGACCTTTTAAAAAAGTTCTTTAAATCCATGTTTCTGGTTGCACAGGGGTGTACTTAAGACTTCTGAGGTCTGGGGTCCTTACTGCCCCCCTCTTCCTAATTCATGATTTAATTTAATGAAATGTGTCAGAATAGCTTCATTTTTAACCACTATCTGATAATCCATCTTAGATCAGTGATAAACAAATTGTGGAAGTAATTCTTTTTTAAAAAACAAAATCATTATTGTGATGTAAACAAATCAAATATTTGTATTAAGATTAAGTGAATAAACAGAAACAAAACAAAATGTCAAAAAAAAAAATCATAAACAGAGCGCAGTGCAGTCCATTAGGTAGTAGAGAATGGGTTTTTGTAGATATGGTAGAAAAAGAAAGTAAAAAAAATACATAAAGTCTTTGATTGCATTACTGATAATAATAAAAACAATTAAATTAATGATAATAGTGAGGACATACTTAATAGATGTTATTTTAAAAGATGAAAATAAATCACAATGCTCTAAATGAGGAAGGAAGTGGCAGCATTTTACTGTGTGGCTTTTATCATGAAGAAATCAACAGGTGTACGACTGAAAGAAGAACCATTTAGTAAAGCTTTAATTTAATGTTTAATACAGCAATTAAAAGAAGATTTTAGAGTATAACTCAACAGGTAGATGTGTTCCTTGTCACCGTGACAACAAGTTAATCACTTTGTGTTGCATCTAACATTTTTGTGAGTAGATTTTTATTTAAAAGTTGCAGTTTTGTCCTAATTTATTGAATTTATTCTTGAATTGTACACTGCGCGTATTTTAGCTTCTCAAGCTGCATTTTCTTTTCAGTGTTTTAAATTTCCTTCATGGAAAAAATCCACAACTACAGGAGAATTTCTTTACTGAATTACTGAACCGGCGTTGTGTGAGGGCTGTCTGGGTCAAAACAACTTCACCGGTAATCTTATCTAAATCAGAAAGCGATCAGATAAACTGTCAAAAAACTGCAGCAATTCAACTGCAATATGCAGAACTGGGATTTCCATGTTCCTGATTCAGATGTCACTTAGTGAGATCATAATAACATCTGGTCTGGATCCAGACGTTGGCATCATGAAGTCATTTGGTTGTTAAACAAAAATATCTATTGGTACTGCAGGCAAAGTTTTTTCCCCCAATGCATTACGTTGCAATGGATTTTGACTGTTGTCCTGTTTGAGTTTCGTTCCTGGGTGTTTCTCCTTCTGCTGCTCGGCTCAGCCACCTGTGGCAGATTTCTAACGGCGCTGGTTTCATGGTTAAGTGCTGCAGTGCTATGTGATTTGGCAGAGGTTGCAGCACAAACAGGCGTGTATTTTCTTGCAGCGCACGTGGGATGAGCACGGACCTTGGCCTTATGCAAAATTTACATTTTGGATGTTTTTATATGTCCATTTGGGGTTCAACTGCTTCTAAAAACAGTCCAAACAATTAAAAAAGAAAAAACAACTGTAATCTACATTATGATGTAATTGGTCAGCAGCCACTAAGCAACCTAAGCTGAGCTCCAGTTTGTTTGGTCAGCTAGTTTTACAGTTGTATGCGCTGTACAATGGCTGATTAAGCCTTTCCATATTGATGCTAAGAAACTATTTATTCTCAAAGATCATTGCTGAGGTTTATTTATTTTCACATAAGTTGTTTTGTGATTGTCTTTAAAGGAAACATGTTATGTATAATTCACATTTTACATGGTTGATTTGGGTCGCAACTGAAAAACGGCCCAAGCAGTTAAAAAAAATGACCCTGCTGCTGTTAATGTCTTTGTTGGTGTCTGAAAAATGAGCAGTTTCAAAATCCTCCTGATTAAGTCTCATTCAACTGGCACTGCACTGTTGCCTAGCAACTCCAGCCAAGCTTAGCCTGTCACTTGGCAACCTAAGCAGAGCTCCAACTGGTTTTCTGGTTTTACCACTAAATGTGCTGTACAATGGCTGCTGGAAAAGACAAGTGTTTTGTTCTTGACTTACTAACTAGAAAACATTCGATGCATTCTTGTTAAATCCTCAACAACAATACTGAAGGCAAGTCATTTTAACCTTATAACCTTTGTTTGTTTGTAGCAAGAAAAAATAATGTGACTTGTAGCAACCAAATAAATTTAATTAAACATGTTGGTTGTGCAGGAGGATCCACTTCTGCTTTTCAATGATGTACAGTTGTGTAATTGTGCATCCATTTTACACCCATTTTCATGTGTGAGTGAAACATCACAGCTTAAGAGTGATATTTTTTTTATAGCTAATAGACCTATCATAACTTGTTTAAGGAAGTTTAACAGATCACCTTTAAAGGTAAATGTCTGGAAACTGGAGCAGCTGACTGGCTGCTTCGTACACCGACTGGTCTCTGAGGGAAAGGAGACACAGCGGAGGTCCGTGGGGGGACAAACGGGCCGGCAGACAGTTCAACGGGTCCTCGGCGCAGCACATACCAGACAAGAGTTCAGTGCCATTGACCTGCGAGAATGGCCACGGAGCCTCCCCACCTTGAATGGCCTTGTTGAAAAGGACAGCCATAAACTGGATGATGAGCACAGAGTGGGAGAAACTCTGCCTCCCCCTGTTTTTTCTGTCACTCTCTCACATGCTATCTCTTTCTTTCCTTTACCAATTGGTGGTTTCTGTCTCACTGAACCCCTTTTCCCTTGAATGTTTAAAAAGATGAAAGGATAAGGGAAAGAATTGAGACAAAAGAGCGTTGGGTTGAGTTACCGCCGTGCCCCTGAGAGAGTGCTCATGAAAGAGTTTAGGGATGAGAGAGATAGGGACCAGAGAGGAGACGGGGTGGGGAGGGGGTCATGAAAAGAGGGTTTTCAAGCTGCTAAAACGGGTTATTCTGTATAGAGAGACAGACTAAAGTGCAGTCTTCACTCAGGGAACGA